CGCGCGTCTGGTGTCGACCGATCGCGAATTCGGCGCGGCTTTTTGCATCCTCAATTTTGTAAGTTTTATGCATATTCTATTCAAACTTGTGGCCGATTTCATATCAATTCTTTTATGCTCATTTACCGAAACCTACAGCCGTGTGCACTCAATATTCTTGCTTTGCTTTGTTATTCAAAAACGAGACCGTACCCAAATGCCTTTGAATAGGTTAAATCCTATTAAAGTTAGGAATTTGGGGAGTAATTTGGATTGATGTGTACTTGCATTGGATGATTATAGTAAATGAGAGACAGAGAAGTGAATGAGATTATCAGCCGACGTAATTAATTGATGGAGTTTTGAATACATTTATGTGAACATCTCTAGGTTGCGTTGCGTGGATGGTTTGGTTGACCGGATCAAGAGCGTAGTCGGGAGATCCGAGGATCTGATTATTGAATTGAACTGGTTCCTCTTTTTTACTGTCTTTAATACAGTCGGGATCATATTGCTGTCAGAGGAGGTTATGAGGACAAAGCTCGATGAGGCACGCGAGTTTTTCGAGGCCTTTATGAACTTTGTGGAATGGTTAGGGAAGCCTAACGTGACGATTGTTTCCCATTTCTGAGATGGCTCGACCCACAGGGAATTAGGAGGAATACGGCAAGTATTTGGAAAGGTTGATAAGGTTTGCGTCCGGGATTGTGAGTGATAGGATTTGGGAGAGGGAGTCCAGTGTGGGAATGAAAAGGAATGATTTCTTGGATGCTTTGTTGGGTGAAGGTGAAGTTAATCAAGATGGCCCTGATAAGCTATCATTGAAGAATATCACAATTGTCCTGCTGGTAATTTTCCTTACATATTAATTCAAGAAACTAATAAACAAATTAATTTTCACTAAATGATATATCTTTGGATCCTTTAGGAAATATTTTTAGCTGGAACCGAGACCACGGGAACCACAATTGAGTGGGGAATGGCTGAGTTGCTTCATCATCCGAGCTCGATGAAAAAGATCCAAGAAGAAATCGATCGGGTCGTGGGGCGTACCCGGAGAGTCCAAGAGGATGACCTAGCTCAGATGCCTTATCTACAAGCAACTGTGAAGGAAATA